AGGTGCAGGAAAGCTCTGCTTATCGTAGTATTTTAGAATATATAGAAGGGGTTGAAATGGACCTTCAAGATCATCTAGTGCCAACCCCCTGCCCTGGGCAGGGACACCTCCCACCAGAGCAGGTTGCTCAAGGCTTTATCCACCCTGGCCTTGAACACTGCCAGGGTTGGGGCAGCCACAGCCTCCCTGGGCAACCTGTGCCAGTGTCTCACCACCCTCACAGTAAAGAACATCTTCCTAATATCTAATCTAAATTTCAATTTATGCCTTATTTACCTATATTTCTCCTCAACAGTGCTGCTGCCTCTGTCCCTGCTGCAGCAGGGCTGTACCAGGCACTTCCTCTCCTTTGCAGGAGATGTCTCTACACTGATGACACTTGTCTGAATTGCTCCTGTCCCCAACATCTATCATCAGGGACAACAGAACATGACAACACTGCAGGTGACAACTTAAAGGGGATTTTTAGTGGCCTTTCACATCTTAAATCATTTTCTAATCACACACAACTGGGAATGAGGTTCTGCCTCGGGTGTTCTTATTTTCCTTGTCAACTTTGCTTATGATTCATATGTGTTGGGAGAGTGTTTCAAGGCCAAATGGGACAGGAGCCAAAGAAAATCCATATCAGAGTGCTGCATAAAGAGAATAATTGAAGTGCAGCAAAAGAAGAATTTGAACAGTAATTCAAGTGCTCTAAAAGACATGAAATTCTTTAATGAAAATCACTGCATAACACCCCAGATTTCTGAAGAAGTGATTTGTAACAGGTAGAAGGGAAATAAAATCTCAAATTTATTTTGAAAGAATTTGCTTTAAAAAAAGCCTCAAACACCGAGCAGGCAGAAGTGGTCTCCCATACCCATACTCTCACTTGGAGCTGGGGACAAAGATCAAGCTTGGTGCAATGGTATCACATAGGCTTGGGGTGGTGGGAAGGACCAGGACCTCACAGGGGAGACACTGCTGGGGGAAGAAATGAGACTCAGAGAAACCCCTGGACACCTACTAAGAAGATACCTTCAGGTTCCTTCTGATCATTTTGCCCACTGAAGGGCAAATTAGTTTGGTGGGAAGCTCTAGGAGTATGTATGGATGACTGAGAGGCTTTAGGGTAAAAAAAAAGGGGTTATCTACGATTAGAAGAGAGGAGCAGTGATCTGAAGAGATCTTCTGCTGAGGCAGCAAGTCCCAATAGGGTCTACATGTGGTGGGGACTTCTACAAGGGACTAAACAAGGAGCCAAGACCAGTTCCTCCTGGCAGGGCATAGCAGGACACCTGTGCAGTGTCCTGGCTTCCTGTACATGCGCTGCATTGCTCCTTGCATTGATTCCTGCAGATCCTCTGTGTTAGGCTTTCCCAGCCCTGATCCTGGAGCCTGGCCAGGTCTCCATGTGCAGCCTGTGAAGTCTCCTGGGCACGTCCCACCGTGCTGACTTGAAAAACCTACAGCTGGGTGAGTCAGGGTTTATGGGTTCCTCCTGGTACTCTGAGATGGTCATTGCTCAACTGAGTCGCAAGGGCCACTGATAAAGGGATTACAGGGGATAACCTATTGAGGGATTAAAGGAACTTGATGTTCCCAGACTAAAGACAAGCCAGAGGAGATTGGATAAATGCCTATAAATAACTGAGAAGGGAAAAGCCAAGGGGAATGTAGTAGCAGCTTTATTATAGCCCATATGTGTGCCTCAGTATGTTAGGAAATGAGGCTGACTGGGGTAGAAGGATGTAGGAGGTAGAGATCAGGGGTCAGTGTTTGGGCAGGTCACCTACTGCTTAGCTAGTTCATTACTTCAGAGGCACTGGTCTGCTTTTCTCTGACACAGGAAAAAGAAGACTCAGAGGGGACCTTCTCACTGTCTACAACTCCCTGGCAGGAGATGCAGCCAGGAGGGGGTCAGGCTCTGCTCCCAGGGAACAAGTGACAGGACAGGAGGAAATAGCCTCAAGTTGTGCCAGGGAGGTTTAAGTCAGATATTAGGACAAATTTCTTCCCCCAAAGAGTTGTCAAGCCCTGGCACATGCTGCCCAGGCAGTGGTGGAGTCACTATCCTTGGAAGGATTTAACAATGGTGTGGATGTGGTTTAAGTGGTGGCCTTGGCAGTGCTGAGGGAATGGTTGGACTCAATGATCTTACAGGCCTTTTGCATGCTAAATGATTCTGTGACTCTCTTATTCTAAGCCACAGATTCTATTTTATCTGCACTCAGCAAGGAGATGCATGTCTCCCAACTCCTCCTGACTGCCTGGAAGTCTCTGATCCCTCTCTAATTTTGGCAGGTGCTTTCAAAGCCCTCTGTAAGTAGGTATTTTTCTCTTCTGATTTAAGAAAGCAGAAAGACAAAAAACAAATGACATAACCACAGCAGGACAGAACATAAATATTTATTATCCAGCTGAGTCTTGCTTCACTCCTTGGTCAGCTCTTCCAAGAAGCCAACTTGTTAATAAATCCAGAGCATGGGGCTTTCCTTGGCATAATAAGCCTTAAGCAATGAGCTGGTACTCTCTGCAAGACAACTGCTCTGGGAATAAGCAGTACAACTGTTTTAGGGCTTAGTCTGAAGTTTCTAGGAGCAGAAAATGCTTCCCACATGTCTGGGGGACCCCAGGGCACAGGTGTGACCCTTTTCACTAGCAAAAACAAAAGAAGCTCCTTGGCATGGCTGGGCTCCAACAAGGACAAGACCGCTGGATGGAAAACACCTTGAAACATCAACACTGGACCAGGGATGTCCCTGCAAGGACTTTTCATAGAGTCATAGAATCCTTTGGGTTGGAAAAGCCTTCTGAGAACATCAAGTTCTCCCAGCACTTCGAAGGCCACTAGAAAACCAGGCCCCTAAGTGCCACATTCACACAGCTGTTAAATCCCTCCAGGGATGGTGACTCCACCAGTGCCCTGGGCAGCCTGTGCCAGGGCTGGACAGCCCTTTTAGGGTAGGAATTTTCCCTGACAACCAATCTAACTCCTCCTTGGTCCCACCATCCACCTCTTTCACAGTGCCAAGGTTGCACAGCCCAAGAAGACCAGGAGACACATGGACTCACAGATATTCCCACAGCATTTTGGCAATCACTGATGGTTTCTACCTGAGAAACATCCTGTCTCCAGGCAAGAGCACTGAAAGAGTTAAAAACGTCCTTTGCTTTCTCAACACAGGCAGGGCCCTGACATTAGCAGCAGAAGACAAAGAATGGGGAGAGATTCAAAGGACATCTAAACCAGTTTCAACTCAGTTAAAACAACCAGTGTCTTTAGGAAAAGATCCCTTGGTGTTTCACCAGATCCCTGTTCTAGTGATTCAGGAAAATGAAGCCTAACACATGTAAATCCCTCCCAGGTCAGCGTCTTCCTAGGGCCTGACAAAGGGGAGAGATTATTTTTCAGCCAAAGGTTAGTTTTAGTTTTGTTCTGTAACTCTTGGTCACAGGGAACTTGGGGATTTGAAATGCCCCTCAGACAGGAGAGTGAGGCCTTTGTGCAGTGCTGGTGCTTTTGCAGTGATTTGGCTCAGCTCATTGTTCAGTGCACTGTTCACTGCATTATTCTGTATCCTGGTTACAACGAGACCCTTGCTTTTCCCAGGCCTCTGAGGAGTTGATTTCTTTGTTCACCTGAGTGGCTTGTCAG